AGCGTTGTAAAAGCACATCTCAGGTCACTTGCTGAAACTGGGAACCCATCACTGACTGAGAGCTTCAAGGCATAGGCCAAAGGAAACGTCTATGACCTGCAGCGGAGAAAACAATGGTTCCGACACTTCCAGACGTTATTCAATCAATTGCCAACGACTGCTTTCTGCCATTGTCAAGAGGGAAGCACAAACCCACGGTCATCAATGAAGTGTAAACTAACAATGTTGAGGACATAAAAAACCACCGGAAGATCACGATATCAAAAACCAAAAGGTCCTTGGCATCGGAAGTACGTCTGGCCTACTGAAGCTTTGAATGACAAGTGTCCTGATAGTATGTTTCGAGTGTTGTAAAAGCACATCTCAGGTCATTTGCTGAAACTGGGAACCGGTCACTGGCTGAGCGAGCCTCAAGGCATAGGCCAAGCGGAGGAAACGTCTATGACCTGCAGCGGAACGACACCATGGACTCAACGCTTACAGGTATTGTTAGTACGAGTCCCAACAAGTCGCTTGTGTCTCTTTCCAACAAAAGAGGATAAATGACACGGCGCAACTACAAACTAAGTTGATGATATAGATGATCGACATGGCCGTGTCTCAAAACGCCAATGATTTTGGTATCAGAAAGACGTCTACTCTTCAAGCGCTCAAGTCAAAGGACAAGTGCCCTGACACTGACAGTGAGTTCTGAGTATTGTAAAAATGTAAAAACAAACTACCGGCTATGAAGATACATTCTTCAAGCGACATACTCACATGAAAAAACCAAAGCAGAATCATGGCATCCAGCTGCAAAGAAATCTTATTCTCTGAAGTCTTGCAACCCTGAAAACCTTGAACATACTTACAAAGTGTCCTGACAGCAAGTCTTCAGTCGCGAAAAACGTGATCTAATGCACTTACGGAAATTCGAAACCATCACCGGCCGGGCTTCCAGACAGGCAAATGAGCCACGTCCCGCCTGCAGTTGCAGAAGTGAAGGGGCCTAAGCTCTCTAATGTTGTTCATGGGAACTTCCCACAGGTGGTGTCTCAGAAAGAAGCTAGAGCTAGCAGCAGTGAAGGTACATCACTCAAGTTGATGGCATGAACATTGGAAAGTCATGGCATCCAAGTGCCAAGGACCCTTGCTCTCTGCGGAACTCTTTGGCAGCGTGCGTCTCTAGGCCGCTCATTTTTCCAGGCTCGGGTCCGCACCCTCCGTTTCCAAAAGCCACAGCCATTGCTGCATCGAAGCTGCCTGGAATGCATCCTGGCCGTCTCAGCTCGATCCATCATCCAAGAGGTCTCACAGCTGCTGCACCGCATCTGCCTTCAGGACAAGGCAAGGACAGCAGGGTTGAGCTTTTTCGTGGCGGCATCGAACGAGAAGCACCACAACATCTTCATGTAGGGGACGCTTGCCATGGCCTTCTGCACTTGATGGATCTCTTCAAACTTCGTGAGGTACAACAGCTCCTCAGCTGACGCCACCAACTTCGAAGTCACTGACCCTTCTGGGAAAGGCTTGAACCCATGGACACACGTCCCCTGGGTCTTTGCAATCAACGCCTTCAGTGACAACACCTGCTTCTCGTCCTGGTAGTAGACCAAATAGGTCGGAGTGATCTCATAGCGGATGCCATAATCTTGCTTCCCGCGAACAAACTTTCCAGTCTGCCACTGCTTGAGGATCGTCCGTTTCGACACCTTGCGATTGCTTTCCTTGTCATTGGAGCGCACGGACAAGGTCTCACCGGACAGCAAAAAGTCACAAGGAGGATCTGCCAAAGTTGCCAGCACCGTCGCCTCAAATTGATTCATCAAACCATGACAACGGTGCCAAAAATGAATCTCTAGAGTTGGATCAGTCTGGAAGCACAAGCCCTCAAGCCAGCATGTTCGTACATCAGCAGCCCTCTCAGCGATTATCATGCTTCTTGTCATCACCATCGTCATCTCCACTATCAAAACATGGTCCAAAATCCCAACTAAATCTTGGACAATGTTGGACAATGTTGGCAGGCTTCGGCCAAACAAAATCTGTTGGTCACGTCGATCAGGTTTTGACTTCAGGAGGAACAACAAAGATCTACCGTTGATTCTGAACGTCTCAGCAGCTCTCAGAGGTTGGGGGTCATGTGCGTGTATGTTTATATAGTTTGATTTGTGCTGTAGTTAGGTGCATTGTGATGTATGATGATGTATGTACATATATATACATCCTGTCATTTGATGCGCCGAAGCACATCGGCTACTCCAGCATCGCCAGCTCCATCA